TCACGACAGAGTGAAAGGTAACCTGTAATAAGATCAACCTTTAAGCCATGCAAACCCAAGACGAGAGAAAAAGAATGTACAAGAGGCTTCCTAGATTTGGAAGACATTATGACTGCTGGATAATGTAAGGTCTATGGCAGGTAAAGCTAAGGCTTATGGCCTTGATAAGCATTACTTCTAGTCACGCAGCGCTACGCTTTCATCCAGAGAGCTTAGCATTGCGTGACAGAAGTAAGGTCACGCTTCCGTTGTTAGTTCCAATAACGGTCTTATCCCATGAAGGGGATCACGGATCTGAACTCTAAAGGTAAAGCTAAGTAGAGACCTAAATAACAAAAAGAGAAATGGCCTTACTCAAAACTCACATTTTCAGCGCACTACCACCAATGGTGCGTGGCAAACAAAACGTAGTTTGGCACGGTCTGCAACGCATGCAAAATTACCCCTATCGTTTAAAACGACCTAATCTTGCACATCTGAGGGTCAATTTTTGTACTAACACAAAAACTACGATATATCCCTAATAAAAAAGGGCATTCATCAATCTGTTTTCTAAGTGTGTGTTATAATGTTTTGAAATCTGTTCTCTAAATCAACCGGTAACTGAGAACGCGTTGTAACGCGTTGGTTTTCGATACTTCAACTAAAAAATACTGACAAACGTAAAAAAAAATCGGCATCATTGCTACGTTGGCTGTGATTTAAAAATGTCAATAAAATCGTTCTTGGACTACACCTCAGTACATCTTTCACCTGCAACGAAAGATGAATAAACGCTAAGATTAATGCCTACAAACAACGGAATAAATTTCCAGAGAAAAACATGTACAGAATGGACCTGTAAATGTGTAGGGTACAACACACCTACTGGCACAGGAAAACTGTCATTTTTCACTGAGCAAACATTTTACCCTTTTCAAACATATCATCTCAGTTTTCCGTATTTATCCCAAATTTCCTTGGTAACGTCCGCTCTCTGCCTTAATGGCAAGAATCTTCAGACTATCAACTAAGGCACCGTCCACACTAGGCCGGAGGAATTCGAAAACGCCCTTCAAACCGGCTTTGCGTTTTAGTGTGGACGGAAAACTTTTTGAAAACGATAATAATGTGATTTTTCTGCCCACAAATCAAACACAGATTGTTGCGTTTTCAAATTTCTCCGGCGTAGTGTGGACGAAAACATTCGATGCTTTTTCAGAGAGAAACCTCCGTTTTCAATTCTACCGGGGAAGTGTGGATGGGCTAATTTTTCGCGTAGACTCCCAGGTGGCAAAAGTAAAGGAAACTATCAGCTGGGTGATAATGTTGACGATTAATGTCCCTGCGCGCTCCCGGCTTAAGGACAAGACGTCTCATTCTATCTAATATAACAACGATTGTAGCACTTTCAAATGAAGTTGCGACAAAAATCTTAGTCGGATAATCACTTTTCTTTATTACTGGTTCCGGATTTACCAGTTTTAGAGTTCGCAATGCATGCACCAGCACTGGTCTGAAATGACGGTTCGTGTTCACCTACCTTCATCTGTTATGTAGCACCTCTCACAATGCAGTATGGAGTTGGTGATGTGAAGGACAGGGCTGAACTCGTCGCCAAACCACGTTCGGCACACCACACAACAGAAGCAGTTGACGTGCCAGTATCGGTCCAACTCTGCTACGTACATCGAGGGACTTTTCTCAATTGACGTACCACAGCTAGTGCAGATCACGTGATTGCTCTCACCGTGAATAAATGTCTCGTAAATACTATAGCCGTCAAAGCCATTCACTTCTGGAGCTGCGTCAGTTTTTCCTGGAAAGTCATCTTGCCGGAAATAATCTCCATTTTCTCTAAATACTTCAGCTGGTGCTTTCGGGTAAACGTCACTTTCGTAACGATGTCCGTTCATCGGAATAACCTCTGCTTGTGGTTTTGAGATGTTCTCTGAATATTGTCTTTTCTTTTCACGTAGCTCCAGCTCTCTCAAAGGTCTATTTTCTTCAGCATTATAGTAGCCCTCTAGTTGGCTAGAAATTCTCGTGTTTGCTGCCTTATGATTTCCATTCTCGTCATACGTGTTCTTGTTGCGTTTTTCTTCTGCTAGAAATTCATTAAATATATCCTCGTTGATTGAAAACTCCACAGGAGGTTTTTGTACTGGTGAGATAATGGGCTCTTCGATTAGTGTCCGTTGTTTCAAAGCAACTCTCTCCCTCATTAGCCTTTCAGCTTCTTGGGCCATGAATTCGTCTTCAGCTTTGAGCTTCCGAAGACGCTCCTCCTGGTCAAACACTTTGGTTTCTCTGCGGACAACATCTTGCTCGCCAACAAAATCAATTCCGTTAATGCGCGTTTGAGAGTCGTCACTACTATATCTTTGGGGACGTTCATGACGACTAGTCTCCCTGTCCTCCTGCTCTGGCTTTTTCTCCATCTTTTTATGCCAATAGTCTTCTTCTACTGCAACCACTTCGTCACTTAATCGGTCTTGTCCTCGAGGAATTTCGTTCTCCTCATCTATTTTGGTGTCTCGACGTTTGTCTTCCTCTTCGCCATACTCCTCGTCAGGGTCTAGCGATGTTCTCATCTGTAAATTCATGAGGTACTTCGTCTTTTGTTGTTGTTTACGATTCTTTTCCTCAAACTCCCTCCTGTATTTTTCTCTATATTCAGCATCGCGTAACTGCTCCTTCAGCATCTCTTCTTTTTCTTTCTGCTCTCTTCTTCGATCCACTTCGTAATCTGCTATCTGAACAGGTTCCGATGCTGTTTGGAAAACGTTATCACTGCCAATTACGTTGACTGTCCCGATCTTGTCGTCATCCGACATTTTATCTTCCAGGTCATCTGAGAAGTTCATAACCCGTCTTCTTCCCATTCGTTGTTCATCGTTTTGTGGCGATGAGTCAAACGCCCCATCACCCCACTGCCGGGTTTGACTCTCAACCGTAGAGACAACCAAAGGGTGTAGTTCCGCGTGGGTTGACACACTCTTTTCGTAATCGTAGGCTTTTTCGTCGTACTCCTCCAATCTTGCTTCCACGTACAATGAATCACTTTCTTCGCGCTTGGTATCATCTCTATCGTTGCCATCTAAGACACGCGTTTCGCCAAATCGACTTCCATGAGGATTGTCTTCCATATGCTTCTGCCGTAAATTCGACGATTGGCGTTCTTGTAGATCATAGTGTTTCTGCGTTTCTTTTGGATCAGTGCGTGCAAACACGCCAAATACTTGTGGTCGGGAAGGATTTTTGGTTTCTTCAGGTGGTTTATTCACGCCTTTTTTCCCGAGACTTCTAATGTCCTGTAGGACAAGACTCTTTCTATACTCTATGTCCTCTCGATCATCCTGCATGGACCTGTATGCTGGTCTTTCTTCAGTTGGAAACATATCTCTATCATCTTGCATCGACTTGAACCCATTCCTGCCGTTGAAATATCTTTCATCAACTGGAACGAAGTCGTAACTTCCAGGCTGTTCCTGTATAAGACCTCTATGTCCTTCATGTTTCGTCGATTGTTGTGTCCTTGGTTTTGCCGTGACCACTATCGGTGCGCCAAATACCATCGGATGGTCATCCTTAACCGATATTTTGGCAGGCTGATTTTCTCTTGGACGTGACTCTTTTGGCTTCCAGTCGTCGTTGTCGTTTTGAACTTGATTTTGTTCTTTGTAACCATATCTTCCTGAATAAAAAGACTGGTTCTCCTGAGGATATTCACTCTGTTCAATGAAACACTTCTCTTCGTTAGGGTCAGAAACCCTTGGGATATAGGTGTCTTCCTTTCTTTGGTAGTTTCCACCTGGTTGAAAAGGTTCAACCTTTGCATATTCACGCAGGTATGGTCGTTCGTCCCTCCATATAAACTCTCGATTAGCAGTGCCCTTATGTTCATATTCCAGAGCATCAGGGGAAGTTTCAGCTAGTTCTACGCGATTGGGCTGAATCCACGTTTGCGTTACTACCACACGATCATCTGATGGTTTGCCTTTTGGAGCGAGGTCTTCTCTGACAGGACGTTTCTCGTAAGATACGTCTGGGTGAGCAGTATACGAAGAAGGCTGACCGTGCTGGGCAAGTGGCCTGTAATGGTCATATTCATTTGTCGAACGTACGGTCACAACTTGCACTGTTTTGTCATCACGTTCGTTCCACGAAGGAGCTTCATACTGAACTGGCACTTCTTCCACCACGTCTTGTTTACATTTTTCTGCTGGCGGGCCTTGAATATGGTCAAAGTAGCCCTCTGGGTCTTGAAACACGTCGTCAAGCTCCTTCATGCCCGATACTTTTTCTCGCTGATATGTTTGCCGCAATCTGTCCTCATCTTCTTCTTCTGAACGTGTCCGACGACGGCTTGCTGTGTCATAATCATCATCAGAGTCGTAATCGTCTGGGAAGCCATGCCAACTCTTTGTCCTCATGTCTCGTTCTATCCGCTTGAGCTCTGCTACGTCAACTAACGACTTACGCGCTGGGGGACCGTCTCCTTTTGGACGACTTTTCTCGGCTTCGAGGGTAGCAAACCTGTTGGTAAGATCTTTCACTTTAGTCTTGCGCTGTGCCTGCCCCGGCTGTTCACTTGTCTTTGCAGGTGGACAGATAAAATCCTTGTATGACAAGTTTTGAACTCCAGATGGGCGGACGGGCTCATTTCGACTGACGTCACGTGTGTCAGGACGACTCGGTTGACGTCTACTTTCAGTAATCAACTTTGAGGGACGCTCAAAACTTCTATGGAACGAATCATCGGGTGCCGCTTCAAGCTGTGACTTCGATGACTGATTGATTTGCTCCTCTTCAGGAGGTCTGTATCTCAGCTCTCGAACTTCTTTCCTCCAAGGCATTTCTTCTTTCTCTTTTTCATCACTAGGTAAAAAGCTATCCACAGATTTTTTCCTGGGCCTGGCGACAAAATCTTGATAAGAGAACTTTTTGTAGTCTCTGGAGTCTTCTGGTGATGAATGGACATATGTAACCGATGACCGCTGCAGCGGCTTATCTTCGGTTGTCGATCTTTTGATTTCACGGACTTCCTTTCTCCAAGGCATTTCTTCTTTCTCCTTCTCCTGATAAGCTACGAAGCTGTCTCTAGCCTTCCTGGAGGGCTTCGCAACAAGATCGTTGTATGCTGGTCGTCTGTAATCTTGGTCGGGAGCAGACTGAGCGATTGGCGCAGATGACTTTTGTACCTGTTCTTCTTCCTCTGTTGATGATCTCTTAATTTCTCGCACCTCCTTTCTCCACGGCATTTCTTCCTTGTCCTTTTCAACATCGGGCTGAAAGACATCTCGACGTTTTCTAGTGGGCACGTTAATAAACTCTTTGTACGATAATTTGCGTAGATTTGGCTCAGTTGAAGACTCAAGTTCAGGAGGTGGATCCTCATCTTGATACTCCTGTTCGTCGTCTGTCTTTGGTCTTTCCTTAAGTTCCCTTACTTCCCTTCTCCAGGGCATTTCTTCTTTGTCTTTGTTATCCTCTAAACTCACAAATGCATCTCGTGTCTTCAACAAGGAAGGACGAACCCGCGTCACTTCCGTCTGTGGCGGTTGTGACATAGACAGGAACGCAGGCGGTTCCTCCGCACTAGGCGATCTTCTGATCTCTTTTACTTCTTTCCTCCACGGCAGTTCCCCAGACTGTTCGTCCACTGTCTCATTACCTCTAGCAAAATTGTCCATAGCTCTTTTAGAAGGAGGAACAACAAGCTCAAGATACTGAGCTTTCCCGAGCTCAGAACGGGGCGAGCTAGGCCGACCAGCATGAGTCGGGTCTCGCTGTTCATCAGAAAGAAAGTTCCTCTTATCCTTGACTTCTCGAACCTCCTTCCGCCAAGGCATTTCTTCCGCTGGAGTGAAAGTGTTTTTTTCGCGGATGAACGTCTCCCTGGATTTTTTGCGCGGCGCGCGCACAAGATCACGATAAGGCAAATTTTTGGCATCTGACAAATTGATATCTAAAGTTTCCTCCCCAGATGATTTTCTTCTCCTAGACTCTTCATAACGTCGTGTCACGTAGTCGGAATATTCCTGTCTCTTGTGTTCGGCTGTACGTTCACTATGCTTTGAATTGTATTCTTCTGCAGACGGGGCGGATTCCATTGGTTCCACTGTTGACACCTGGGCGATACTTTCCCCTGGTGCAGGTTCGCGAACATCATTAAAGCTGCTGTACTCGTAGTAGTTAGAGACTGGGCGAGAGGTCCTCTCCTGTTGGTTTCTCCTTCTTACATCGGAGGGTTCCGATTGTCTGTCGGAAGGGGACTGGTAGCGGGCAATGTACGGCCGAGTCGACGTGCTCAGAGGTACGGCTTCTTTAACGGGGCTACCAAATGACTTTCTTTTGTTCTTTTGAAGAATTTCGCTTTCCTGTAAGGAAGAAAAAAATGTAGAAATATGTTTCAGCCATGCAATTCGAATGGCGAGATATAAGCATATGGGCTATCTATTGTTTCGTCATATTTGATCCTTGTGATCGAGCAAATTTATAAGTTTGAGATAAACTGTTGGATTGCGTGGGCGAGCCAGTGAAACACTGGCTTAGTTATCAACTTGAACTTACGTGTAGCCAAGGCAAGAATAACCTACTACCCTAGTGAGTTTAAAATTGACTTCTCAACTGTTAGCCCTTCGTCAGAGCAAAGTGCTTTTATGCCTTTATGAGCTTAAGTTGATAAATTGTTAAGCGTTTACGTGATCAACTACATTGAAATACATTTTGGCCAGCTCCAAATGCAAGGGATTTGTTCATCCGAGTTCGTTATACAGGCAGCGTGCCACTGTTTAAACTTGTACCTTGCAAGGGGCAAAACAAACTGGCAAGGAATCTAACAGCTCGGCAACAGCGTTGTGTTTAAGACAACCACACTGACGAGATGGAGGAGCAGGAACAAAAATTATTAAAAATCTTCCAAATTTATCTTGATAAACTTACATTGCAAAAATACTTTTTCATTACTTATGAATTTACGTCTGTACCTTTCGGGCTTGGTAATCCTTGTCCTCAAAAGTGCGCTGTTTCTCCAGGAGGCCAACATTTGCATCTCTCGGGAGACCAACTTTTGATGATCTCTTGCGGCCGTCCGTGTCCGTCAGTGGTGGACGGTGTTGACCGCGAAGAATAGAAGCGTCCTGGGGGAGAATAACAAAAGGAAATCAAAACAGAAGTCTAAAATGCTAATGAATAATGATTAACAAGGAAACTTATTAACGTTTTTGAACGATGCGTTTTCTTCTGTAATGTGATAATTAAGAGGCAGCCTACACTTATGGACAGATGGAAAAGATGGAGAAGGCAATTAACAGTAATTACGTTTAATATTAACAACGGCATAATTTGCAGCCTGAAGCCACAGAAACACTTTTCAAGCATATTGTTACCCCAAAACTCCATAGAAAACACAGAGCAATTATCAAACTGTAAAAGCGTAAATTTTCGGTGGAAACTATGAGTGAAGACTTGCCAAGTGCGCTAGTAAGCTAAATCCCTTCTGAGTCGGATTTTACACAAAGCACAAGACCACAAGTCGACGAGACCACTAAAAAGCATTAGTGGCAATTAACAGGTGAAAAAACTATTTTCAAAACACTAACGGACCTCAAAGACAAATGATCTCAGCTAACATGACTTGAAACATTCAAGTGCGCTGACCTGTTCAGCTTGTCTGTCAAGTTGTTCAAAAGTAGCTTTCTTCTCGTCCAGTTTGACTTGTTCCCGCTTTGGAACCATTACAGAGTTTGGTCTCTTTTCTTTTCCGTCTGTCGCGGACAAACGAAGGTTTCCCTCGAGAACAGCTTTTTCCTAGAGAGAAAAGAAGCAAACAAACCTCAGCTAAAAATTAATAATAATAGATAAACAATGCAGCGATTTTTTTTGTTTTTCTGTTCAGCTAGGGGCAAACTTACTTGCTTCGCAACTTGCTTCCGCAAATCTGCTGCGCTTTGCAAACTGACGTTTACTCGTAATTTATAAGGTCAATATTGACAAAATAATTTACAATGAATGATCATCTTTGCTTTAAATATTAGGCATCCACTAAACAGTTTCTTAATCACAACCTTATTCGATAATTAAAAAAAACGTATCCTTAATGAATCTGCTCTAATTAATTAAACCATGAATTCATGCTTATTGTACTACGTATCTTTATTACGCAATCTGCACGAATTGAGACGATCTTGTTGAATTGTTCAACAGCCAAATTTGAATTTTCCAATTTCATGTCCTCTCAAATAAGATCGAATTTTGCATTTTTAATGCAACGGTCTATGTTTTTAGTTGTGAATTTGCGATCATAAAAACCACTGTAAGCTACTGGAGGCAGTCGAAGCTGCAGCTTCGTCATACGTTTCGCCTCAGTTCCTTACCCTCTGGGCTTGATAATCGCGCTGTTCAAAATCCTGTTGTTTCTCCCGTAGTTTCCCCGTTAATGGAGCTTTCTCTGGTTTTGCAGTTCTTTCCGGCTGAGGTCGTAATTTTCCCTGTAACACAGCGCTTTCCTGTGATGAAAACACGAAGAAAAACTTTTCATACAATCTAAATAAAGATGTCATCCCGATACAGAGATAATTTTCAATCGGCTAATTACCATGCAAATATGAAACCTTATCAGCATGACACCTGCAAGCAGATATTTATCTGTTCCAGCAGGTTGTTTTGGAAGTTTGTATAACTCTGTCATTAGTATCAATTGTGTCGTGGGAAGCAAAGTTTCGACTAAGAAAGGTTTTAGTTCATTTTCCAAGACTCTCTCAAACAATAAATAAAACAATCCATTCTTATGAAGACATGCTTGATCATCGCATTTATATACAATTCATTCTTATTTTCATAACGTATTAAGTTTTTCATACTTTTCGCTGTGAATAATCTACCGATCAAACAGCATAAACGCCAATACAAATATATTCTTCAAATATGTCAGACCACTTTGCGACCAAAGTAATTATAATTTGACAAAAACACAGTGCTAAATTAACCGACTAGAGAGCATCTTCTAAAATAAACAATGGTATACTTTCATTAAACGGGTTTTCTAAGTTTAATATTGAATTTATTTACGTCAATATTTTGAAGTACATGTAAATTGAAAGGTGAAATTAACGTTATATTTGCGTAGAAATAATTGTCCCCACCGTGACAAAAACAAATCTGTCTTGAGTTGGAAGAGCCTGGTGATTAATTCACATACCGCAGTTGCTTGGCGTTGAAGTTGTTCGTAATTTTGATGTTTTTCCTTGAAAGCAATATCCACAGGGTTTTCCTTCTTCAATGTTTTGCCGATCTCCTCTGGTCCCCAGGATACTGGCCGAGCCTTGCCTTTCAACACCGCAGTTTGCTGGGAAAACAAGTATCAGTGATAAGATAGGAACTTCGTTACAAACATATGATGGAAAGTCGTCGCAAAATCCACGCGAGGAATTTCCTATTTTAATTCTCCAGTCAAACAAAAGCGCGAGTATAAACCGCAAATCTTTCGCAGTGATCACGTCACCATCATGAGGCTGTTACCCGTAGGGACATGTAACGTTGCTTGGAAACCGAGGGCAAGTTTGTCGGTACTGTCTTTTTGTCGTACTGATTTCAAAA